TGATATATTTTCTCAATTCGAAATGATGTCCAGTACAACACAATATCTAATCTTATATTGCACTCGGTGTAATGTGATTTTGCATTGAGCAAACATGGCGTCCATTCGAGTATAATCCCTTGCTGAGACGAAGCTAGAATGAAAGCTTAGCCAATTCTTCCTTTAATCTAGTAAAACGTGTCATTGTTGTCGGATGCTATATAGCGTCAAATACAATATGTCGTCTATTTAAGATGGCGTGTAGACAAAGCCGTGAGCTGTAAGGAATGGCAGAATTCGGTGAAAACCAATGAAAGTAGGAATGTTCATTGAAATGGTAAAAAGAGGAAAAAGACATATATGCGAATTTTTTCTCCCTGGTCAGATTTCAGTTCTCCTCTCGTGTCAGAAAATTCCAAGTCCATTCTTCTTTATCGACGTTTGACACAGTCGACTAGAGGGATGATTTATGAGGTGGGTAAATAAGCTAATCTCAAGTCGAATCACGACGGAAACATTAAATGAGCAGGCTTCCAGTTGAGCTAAGAAACGAAATTAGAGCCTGGTGTTAATCCAATAAGAAAGCCGAGACGTGATTCAGTCGCGCATGCTGATTGGTTAACCCGAATCCCTGTTGACTAATCGTTAAAGAAGTAGTACAAATTCAGGTAAATGGTTGTCGGTGGGGTTCCCCAAACTTTTGTATCCCGCGTACCTTTTCGTCTGGTATTTTTGGAACCACACTTTGAAATAAAAAAAAACAAAAACAAAAACAAAAAAAATATCAAATATATAGCTCCTAGAGGATAGATAACAGGCATGTGGCACTTGTTTAGAATCTTATTCAATACACTGTTACATATTTAATAAGATGGAGGATCTTGCTTCTTTTCAAAAAGTAAATTCCCAATTCTGGGAATCGTTTCAGAGAGACACGTACAAATATCACTCCCGATTGGCTGCCTTACACAAAATTAGGTTTTGATTATATATCCAGCTCTTTTGCCAACTCTACCATGCATATTGGGCGTAAGCCATATCACGTTGAAACACCAATTCTTGTACGATCATCGAAACGTCAAGCCTGGCCACCACCTAAATAGGCGACTCTTTAGGAAAAGGAGGGAATGTAAGCTTGGATAAGAGGGTGATGTGATGGATAACTGCCGAGTTACAATTCCAGTTACAATTCCAGTCAGGTTCACATTTTTTTAATCGAGTTCACCCAAAACAAGGCAGAAGGGATTTCCACAAGCAAGAAGTGTGAGAAAAGAATCTGTTAGCATACACTTTACGGTTACATCTAGCCAGCTCAAATGTAAATTGCTGAGATTTCGACGCCAGTCAAATATTGCGCCTTGATTAAGAATGTCGAGGTACTTGCGTGAAAATGATCTTGAGAAATGTATGAACCCACATTTTCTCCCCCACCTATGGATTAATTAGTAGCATTAATTTAAATAATTTTACAGCCTAAAAAACAATATGGCTTTAAATAACCTGCAAAGGATTGATAATCCGTAAAAAAAATCAAGTCAATCAATCAATCCTCATGTTTCCTTGTGGATTTTTCTTCATTTCCTTCTTGTTGCTTTAAATGACTCTCATGGAACGAATTGAACGGTTTCATCTTAGAATTAAATTTGCTGAGGTTGTTTCCACACATTACAAATAGTTTTTCATTGATCATTAAATAGTTTTATCACTTCACAATTCTTCATACCATCCATTTTCAAATCGACAAATTGATCAAGCTTTCTTTGAGCCGATATATTTAATTAAACTCCAAAATTAAAACCAAAGAATGTTAGAAGAACTTATGCAAAATTTGAAATTATTTTTACGCATATGTGTGTTTCCATGTTTAAATAATGGGTAAATATATATGCCGTATGTGGTATATTGCTGACGCAATTAGTTCATAACATTTAAAGACTTTCCACTCTGTTTTTAGTTGCAGATATGATTCGTCAACGTCTTGTTAGGCTTAAATTAAATGAGCGTCACAGATGCAGATGTAGAGCTTCCATTGATGAGTTTGGCTTGCATCCTCTCTCCTGTTGTCGCAGGGCCGGCCATTTTCTAAGACATGCAGCAATAAATGACATCATCAGAAGAGGTCTGGACGGAGCTGGGTCCCCTTCCCATAGGCCTTGACCTTGATGGAAAGCGGCCGGATGGGATTATCATTTTTCCTTTTAAAATGGAAAAGTCGTTGATTTGGGATGCAATCTGTGCTGATACATTTTCGACCGGTAATTTGATCAGTTCTGTGGATGAGCCGGAATCTGACACAAGGGACGTGGAGATAAAAAAAAAAGTTAAATATTCTTCTCTTGGGGACAGATTTATAGGGACTTCTGGAGTTATTGGGTCTCGGTTGATGGCGTTCGTTCGGAAGGTTGACGGGATTGCGTTTCAATTAAGGGACGAGCCTCGCGAAACGGAGTGGCTCTTGCAGCGTGTCTCACTGGAGATGCTGCGAGGTAATGCTTTCTCCATCATTGCAGCTAGCAGAGGATAGCAAAAAAATGTTTTTGCTTATAGAAACAATATTTCTACATTTGAAAATTTCGTTTGGGGAGATTTCAAATAGTATCCTTGGCCATTGAATCACAGAAAAACCTTACAATTTTAACTTGCAAAATCTACAAAAGAAATTTGAAAAAAGTGAATAATCAAATAGGCGTAGACAGAATACAAATTATCTTTTTACATTGGGAAAAATGTGAAAGGGTATGGCAAAATTCAAATGAGGCGAAGAGCTGTAATAGCAAACCTTTGATTGAAGCAATATTAGACATTTTTTATTTTTACTAGCATTTCTTTCATCTCAAATTAAGTTGCTTTTCTTTTTATATCTTTATTTGGAGAAATATTAATAAGATTTTTGTAAAAAATTAAATGAATCATTGTCAATATTTGTTGAATATTGACTGATATTTCTTTCAATTTAATTCCAATTTCTTTTCATCTAGATGTAGTATTCGTTGAAATATTATTTGAATTTTTTTAGAGGAAGTATTTTCAGCCATTACCAGTTTATTGGTTTTTTATTTCTTGCATCTTAATTCTACTTGCTTTTTGTAGAAATCTTTCTTGGAATTTTTTTGGGAGACAGACAACACAAAATACTTTAGATATAGATGAGTAGATTTCGACATGAATCGTCAAAACTTTAGTAATTAGAGATCTCAAAATATATATTTGGCCATTTAGTCATTGCAACAAAGTCTAAAAATGAATCTAGCAAAATGACATGAATAAACCAGGCTTAATATCAAGATTCCGGTCTTAATAGTAAACCTGATCGGTTTTATGAAATCAAACTGATAGCTGATACACTATTTACATTATTCGAACTATTGTCCTCATCTTTGTCGTCATATTTATTACAACCTTTCGGCTTTTGTACGCTCCGGCCTTCTTCAGGTGGTTGGAAGGTTGAACTGAACCCTTTATTTCGCTCACTGGGGTAGACTGTTCTAGTTCCACGTGCCATGTAGAAATATAGACAGAAACTTCTGACAGGCTATATTTTGAGATTCATCAGCAAACTGGAAAGTCCAGAGTTGAATAAAATGTAATTCTAATGTATGAGTGATTGACTTAACTGTTAAATGGATGTCAGATATCAGTTATCCCCTCTCCAAGTTCCCCACTACCTTAACTGGGTATTGAACTCTTTGGGCCCGTCACTGGATCTAACCAACGCCTTTATCCACTGTACCATGTGTCCTTGAGGCGAAGAAACGTTGTAATAAATATGGCGACAAAGATGAGGACAATAGTCCGAATAATGTAAATAGTGTACATAATACATCACCTCAGAAATATAGAAAGATACTGAAAGGCCGAAACGTTGTAATAAATATTGCGACAAAGCTGTGGACAATACTCTGAATAATGTAAATAGTGTACATAATACCTCATCTTAGAAATATAGACATATACTGAAAGGCTGAATCGTTGTAATAAATTTTGCGACAAAGACGAGAACAATAGTCCGAATAAAGTAAATAGTGTACATAATACCTCATCTCAGAAATATAGACAGATACTGAAAGGCCGAAACTTTGTAATAAATATGGCGACAAAGATTCCATGAATGACATCTATATGAGAATTTTAAATCTTAGAAGATTGTTTAAGAACGTAACTGATATCAGATTGTGAGACGTAGATAATTCGACACCATCATTTTACGGTCTAGTGGCGATGTTTCCTTGCCTAGCTGAAGTGCGGTAACTGATTCCTTGATGCCAATAACGGTGCCCTTATTTAGTCGACAACTAAAAATTCTTCTGGAATGAAATATGCGGAGCACATAGATTTGAACCACCTTAGCGTTGTGTTTGAATGTGATCCAATGCAATGTTCTACTTCGTTATGTTTATTACCGTCCCTGGTGCGCATTTGTGCATGACCTTTGGTCACCCAGAATTTTTAATCGTTTCATCGTCATTAGCATTTTTATTCCTGTTGTCCGAGAAAGATCTAAAGTAGTTGCCACCTCAATGATAGAATGCCCAATCTCCCCAGCTTCCATAATCATTCCGTTGTCCAACGATCTTCACGGCTGTCCTACATAGAGTCATAGCTACACTACATCTTTACCTATTACCTCATAAATATGGCATCCGATTGAGTCCTATTCGAAAAGTGGGGAATAGGGAACCAACTAATATACAGAATTTAATTTTCAGTTCGTTTTATATATATATATATAAAATGCTGAAAATTATATATATATATATATATATATATATATATATATATATATATATATATATATAGATATATATATATATATAATGCTGAAAATATATTTATATATGAAATGCTGAAAATTAAAGACTATATATATATATACACACACACACACACACACACACACACACACACACACACACACACACACACACATATATATATATATATATATTTGTGTATTTAAGCAACAATTCTTCTTTCATGCACATTTCATTGAATACGACAGACAAGCTGGTTTTATTTAGTTTTTTTTTCAATTTCTCATGCTATCTAATAATTTTTCTTTTTTTATCATCCGAAAAGAAAAAAAAATATTAGATCGCATGAGAAAAGTATAAAAAACTAAATAAAGCACCTTTGTCGTATTCAAGACTATATATATATCTATATATATATATATATATATATATATATATATATATATATATATATATATATCAAAAAAATGTCAAAAATGTGTGAATTTCTTTTATTTTTCATTTCAACCTTTGGAAGTAAAGTCTGATGATCCAGAGCCCTGTTAAAGGGTTGTGGTGAAATAACGTATTACATGGAACCTTAAAGTGGTCTGTTTTTTCATTATATATATATATATATATATATATATATATATATATATATAGTTATATATATATATATATATATATATATATATATATATATATATATAGTCTTTATATAGTTTAAAAGTGAGTAATTAATTTCTAATATTTAAATTTTACAGTACCATATATAGTTTATTAGTAAATATAATAAATATAGTATTTTTAGATCTTTATAAATAAAAATGTAAATATAATTAAAAAGACTTAATAATATTTGAAAAACTCTGTAAGAAAATGTCGATTTAGTTAAAAAAAAATAAGAAAACAAATAAAAACTGTATTGTAATATAATCAAAAGAAGAAGAAAAAAGAAACAGACTGTGATGACACATTCGCATAAAAGGAAGTTAGTATCAATAGACAGACATTTTAAAACCCCACTTAACATTAACTGATTTTCATTTTGCCACCTAAAATTATGCTTGTATCTTGAGTCGTCACCCCCCCCCGGCCAATAAGAATATGAATTGAATCCTCCTTCCCCTAAACTTAAACTATATATGACTATTTAGCTTATAAATAGAGTAAATCAATTTTTGGGAAGTTATTCAGCATCACTTGAAAAGGGAATTGAATTTCAAATTTTAAGTTTAATCTAAGGTTTAAGTTTTGGTTTCGAAATATGGTACTTTCTGTGTCGCGATAAATACATATTTTTAAATAATAATTAAAAAATTATGCTCTACTGACTATATATCGAGCACGCTTTTTAAAAATAAATGCTAAAGAACTGTGGATGATAAATCTGACTGTTCTTTCTTTTTATTTTAATATAACTTTTTCCTGACTGCTGGAAGTTCTCTTCGATTGTTCCTGTTTTCAAGAACTCTGGCGACCCCTCTGACCCTTCTAATTACCGTCCTATCAGTCTCTTATCCCTCTACGGCAAAGCCCTAATCAATACCGAAGTGGTTAACCACCTTACATCCCATGGTCTGCTCTCAGACAAGCAATATGGCTTCCGCTTTGCCCGATCTACAGCTGATGTGCTTACGGCCATCACTGAAACTGTCTACCAAGCTCTTCAAAATAACGGGGAAGATCGTGCCGTGGTCCTAGACATCTCCAAAACGTTTGATAGGGTTTGGCATGTCGGCCTTCTTCGCAAACTCCAGGATTATGGTATTACGGGTTGATTGTTTGACCTAATACAATCATTCCTGTCAAACCGTGAATTGAAGGTCGTTCTCAACGGATTCTCATCCAGTTCCTATCCCACGAACGCAGGTGTTCCTCAAGGCTCCATCCTGGGCCCCACTCTATTCCTTATCTACATAAATGACCTTCCTGACGCCATAAATTCCCAAGTTGGCATCTACGCGGATAACACCACAATTTACTCCTGCCTCAAAAATAAATCTAGTATCGCTGACAAAACTAACCTAGCCGTGCGTCTCGAAAAGGACCTCCAATCGGTTGTGAACTGGGGCAGGAATTGGCTGGTCAACTTTAATGCCTCAGAAACAAAACTGCTCTCTATTAATCACCACAGAGATCCTTCCCTTCCCTCCATTAGAATGTCTGACACTCAACTTCTCGAGAGCACCTCTCTGCGGCTGCTCGGTCTCACGTTGACTGCTGACCTGAGATGGAACAAATACATTGAGTCAATTGCTTCAACCACTGCAAAGAAAGTTGGTTCCCTGTGCCGCGCCAGGAAATTTTTCTCCCCGGAATCGATCCTTCAGATCTACAAATCAACAATTCGCCCTTGCATGGAGTATTGCTGCCATATATGGTCTGGAACCCCTTCTGTTTGCCTCAGAGTTCTTGATAAGCTCCAGAGGCGGATATGCAATATAATTGGCCCTGATCTGGCATCTAGTCTACAGTCACTTTCTCACAGACGCGCCGTCGCCTCTCTCTGTCTTTTTTTGCAAATACTTTCATGGTAATTGCTCCGAGGAGCTGCATTCGCTGGTTCCCAGACTTCATGAATTCAAGCACCCTACGAGGCTGGCATCCCGCTCTCACACTTTCACTGTCAAAATCACTAAATGTAGCCGTCTCTTCTACTCCAATAGATACATATCTCGCACCTCTCGCCTGAGGAAAACCCTTCCTTATTCCAGTTTCCCTGATAGCTATAATCTCCAACTATTCAAATGTAATGTCAATCGACATCTCCAGTTGCCTTGATCTATCTCCTAGCCTTCTCCTCATCATTTCCTCTATCACTCCTATCTGCTTTTGCTCCAAATCTTCTGTAACCCCTTGCATCCTAGTGGCTTCCTGCCTTGCTTGGGGTGAATCCCTTAATATATATATATATATATATATATATATATATATATATACATACATCTATATGTTATGTTTGTATATATATATATATATATATATATATATATATATATATATATATACAAACATAACGTATAGATGTATGACAAGCTGCGGAAAAATTCTTGACTGAGTATACTTCCTAACATCTGACAAAAGACTTGCTCTTGTTGAGAATTCTTCAACACCAACAACACTTAAAACAGTATTCCAGGAAAATTGTTTTTTTATTTGAACTCATGTGGAATATTATATTGATTATGCAATTATTTAATCTTCGAGGTTTTGCTTCTCGTTTCTAAGAACATCTGTCTGCGAGAATGGCAAGGTAATTCCTGTTGAAGACATCTGCTCGTGTTTATTTGTGTTTCTACAACACCTACAGAGCCAACCTGTAATTTATACTGCAAATAGATCCTTAGTTAAAGTGTCCTACAGAGAGCGTATTGTCTGGTGTGGACTTTGATCCCAATGACTTGCGCATTTCTGCTAGCATTATCATCGACAGCTTTTCTTTACATAGGCCGCACTGATAACTGGTCCGCTCCTCGAATCACACACAACACACACACACACACACACACACACATATATATATATATATATATATATATATATATATATATATATAAGTGCGTAGGTATGCAGAAAATAGAAAAAAACACGTTGGGTGCATAATCCGGGGTTACTTAGTATTTTTGTTTTTATCTTTAAGAAGACAGTGCTCCATACAGAAGTAGAGCTTATATCATAATAATATTTTTTGTTTAAAAATATGATTCCTTCGCTACATAAGAGTCCTCATGTTTCAAAAACGAGAGCCGAAATCATCCAAATATTTATTAAAATTAAGTTGGATTGTGGTGTTTAGTCCCGTTTCATCTTCAAGCGAAATATATATATATATAAACGTTAAAATCTGTTTTTATCTAAATTGCTAAAGTTATACCACCCCTCTCCTTCCTCCCAAAACCCTATGTAGATCTCTTATCTCTTTACTTTTTCCTTTTTCTTTTTTCCTTTTCCCATATCATTTCCGTTAAGTTGACCGATTAAATAGGTCAATGTCAGATCCTTACCCCCTCCTTCCTCCTCATTAAGTATTGTAATAAAAAGAAATATAAAGATAAATTTTAAACTCTCCCTTTCCTCTCTAAACTCGACCATGTCTCTCACACCATTCCTCATCACCCTCTAATTCAACTTACATAAGCTTAATAAAGCCCGTTAAAAGTGTAAATTTTAAATTCATTTTTCGTTTCACCTTTAATTGTGAAGTCTGAAGATCCAGAGAAAAAATAAAATTTCTCTGGTGAAATAAATTATTACAATGGAGCCTTAAAGTGGTCTGCTTTTCATTTAAATTAATATATATATATATATATATATATATATATATATATATATATATATATAGGGTCTCCATAAAGTTCGTTTGCGCTTTAAAAAATTATTACTTTATATTTGCGATAGAAATAATTTGTAAAAAAATGTTATAAAGTTTAATGTTTAATATTTTAAGTATAGTGAAAATAACTAATGGGATTTCAGGCGTTACTGTAAATCAGTTGGCAAATGATTTCCGTGAACTGCAAAATCGTATTACCCTTTGTATTGCTAATGATGGAGGACATGTGGAAACTTAAATAAAATTTCAATAAAACCTTAAAATATTTAGATTTATTTCTTTGTAACCCTTTTTACAAATTATTTCTATCGCAAATACAAATAAAGTTATAAATTTTTCTAAAGTGCACACGAACTTAATGGACACCCTGTATATTGTCATCCGCAGACAGACTGTTTCGGTGTATCACACTTCATCAGTGTGGCTAGATGTCCGGTTGCCTCTTGCTAGGATCGAAACACGACTGAATTGTCAGTCGGAGAATCACAGCAGGGGATGAAGGTGAATTTAAACGTATTTATTTTTAGATAAACACGCCAGTGACTGAGAAAACTCGATTCGTTTTATCGAAGAGTCTTGCATTAGTAGCAGTAATAGTGATTGTTTATAAACTCACACTTCTTCCCCAGAGAGCTCAAACGAAATTATTTTTCAGGAGCATATATATATATATATATATATATATATATATATATATATATATATATATATATATATATATAAGTATATAATTGGTATATACGGAATGAATTCCAATAACCAACAATTACTATTCTTAAAATATCTGAATAGCTATTATAACATGAGTTCGTTGTCAAGCTTTTGAATCTTTCTATACTTGGTTTTTGATTGTTTATTCTTGCTTTTGTAACAATGTTTCCCCCTAGTGTAGGATCGTTAATTAATCTGAAACTTTTAAAACCATTTATTTTATTTTCAACATCATCACTTGATAAGACACAGAGTGTGTTTAAACAAAATGGCTATTTTTGTAGTGATTTTATAACATACTTATGTTATAATTTTTTTATAAATAATAATTATATATATATATATATATATATATATATATATATATATATATATATATATATTCTTGAGTGAAAGCCGTGGTATGATTTTCATGCAGGCTATTATAACCATATAATATTTTCAGGCATGCTATTATAAAAATGTTATATTTTCAGGTTTTATGATTTTCAGAGCGTTATTATAAAAAATTCAAGCTGATCGTGAGATTTCTAATCGGGTCACGTGCTCGAAGGCGGAGATTCTTATCACTCGGTGTCGCTCGTATTCAACTTCAAACCCAATTACTATGATACACGAAAATCCTTTATAATCGAACAGTTTTTTTTTTACAGACAAAAATAGGCATCCACTGTTTCTACTTATATTCACCATAGAAATAGTGACTCTTCAAAACAACGCGGGTCAGATTTTTCTGTTAAGAGAACGCAATAAATCTTTTGAAGATGGTATTTGATGTGCTTGATTTTCAACCCTGGTGACTCGTCTTAGGATTGGGGAAAAGAAATTAAGATAAAATCTAAGAAAAAATATACATAATAAATAAATAAGTGCCATCCATTTTGGGCGTGATGGCCGCACCTAGATACTTTATGGCTTTCCCAGATTATCTACCACATCAGATTGTCAATTGATTAACCACCAAGCGTCTTGCTCTTGATCAATTCTCTCGTGATCTTTAAATTGACAACGAACACTCCAAACGCACACACTGCTTGCGGCCATATCACCCAATATATATATATATATATATATATATATATATATATATATATATATATATATATATATATATATAGATAGATCTAGTGAGCCAGACAAACCCTACCCAGGTTTCACCTAAGCGGATCGTCAGAGAATATGGTGTTTTCTCTTTCCTGTTTAGCCAGCTTTCCTGACGATCCGCTTAGGTGAAACCCGGGTAGGTTCGTTTGGCTCACTAGGTTTATCTAGGTCTGCTCTACGGTTGTATTGAGCTCTTTTGTTTGTTAGTTGTTTACTCGTGTCGGTTTTTTTTCTTTGGGCTTTAAACCTGCATCTGTGCGATTTTTTTCGACAGACTTTCATGTTTCTACCTCTTTCTTTTTTTAAAATCTTTTTCCCTCGGAATTGACTTGATTCGAGGGATTTTCCAAACGAGTATAGTTACCTATATATATATATATATATATATATATATATATATATATATATATATATATGTGTGTGTGTGTGTGTGTGTGTGTGTGTGTGTGTGTGTGTGTGTGTGTTTTAGGCAGTATTTCTTCATTCAAGCATGTTTGTTTGAATACTCTAGACATATTATGCATATTTCTTTTTATTTTAATCCTCTGAAATTTATGGATCAATTTCCTAGTGCTGTTACAAAACTGAATAAGAAAGACACCATAGTTTTGATTATTTCTTTTATTTTTAAGTACTTTCATATCTCATCCAAGATCATCTTAAGGGATGAATTGCTTAGACAAAAATTAATGTAATTGATAGTATTTTATGTGTTTATTGTGCCCCATATCAGGAATAGAGCGTATGTAAATATAAAAGTAGATAGATAGATAGATAGATAGATAGATAGATAGATAGATAGATAGATGGATGTGTGGTGTGGTGTAATGAATAACGCCACGGAATGAGAAGTCTGAGAGCCGAGTTCGAATTCCAATCGTGTTACGCGCAAATACCCTTGGGGAATGTATGAATCCGTCTCTACTCCCATAGCTCGTAGCTAAATAGTATAGCACGTCAGGCTATATGACGTTTCCGTGTAGGATACAGGTTGAATTCTTGTTGGAGGACGCATATTTTCTATAAGTAAATGTTGTTAATACTGTTTATATAAACAGATCATTTACTTAAATATTTGTGCCTATATGAATAACGTATTTTAATAAAATACACACACATATATATGTTTATATATATATGTATCTGTCTAAAAAGTTTGGTTTAAAAGCAGATTTAATAAAAAAATATTTAATGAAGTTTTCATATTTATAAAGATAATCCGTTTCAGAATTTATCGAATTTAACAATTATGGGATCCAGCGAATTTAAAGACAAACTATTCGTCGTACCATACACCAAGGTTAAGCAACGTCGAGCCTGGATGGGTGACCTTTTGGGAATACCACGTCCTGTAAGCTTGTAAGTGCGGGTGGTACAAAGGGCTTATGTCCATATCAAGTTGAAACACCGGTTTTCGTACATTCACCGTAGTTAAGCAACGACGAGCCTGGTCAGTGCCGAGATTGGTAACCGCTTGGGAATACCAGATGTTCTGAGCTTGGATGTGTGGGTGGTATAAAAGACTTATGTTCCTATCGTGTTGAAACACCGGTTATTGTACGATCACTGAAGTTAAGCAACGTAGAGCCTGCTCATTACCTAGATGGGTGACCGCTTGGGAATATCAAATGCTGTAAATCCTGATGTGCGTAAAAGCTGGTGTAATAGCGTGGAATTGCTCGTTGGTGAGCCGAGTTCAAATTCCATTTGGGTTCGTTATATTCATTTACGCGCATATACCATTGGGAAAGGTATGAATCCACTTCTTCTCACCCCCAGCTATGGGTTAATTAGTAACACTTGTATCAGTAAAATATTATCTTCCCTCAAAATCTTATAATCTAATACTATTTTCTGATTTTAGACCAAATGTTGATAAGCCGTAAAAAAAACAAAACAAAAAGGCATGAACCCACTGTTTCTTAAATATCAGAGCAGCCTGAACTCTTTACCCTAAAAGAAGGAAAAGGTTGAATGTCAAACAGTGAAAATGCGATCATTATCGACTTCATTATCTTTCTCAAGAATGCAAATAAAAAAAGATAGGGAAACAGTGGAGAGTCATATTCGCTTACGTCCTAAAGAAACCATATAATGTCTGACGTTAGCGGGTGTGCAGGTGGTATATAGACTAGCAGCTTGGGATGTGAAATCTGAGAAGAGACGTTCGAATTTCACTTGAGTTTGTTGCATTTGCTTATGCACAAATACCCTTGGGGAAGGTAGGAATCTCTCTATTCTCCAACCCCTCCTAGCTATGGATTAAATAGTACGAGATCCAAGAAAATGTTAATGCAATATTCACTCAAAAAACTAATGATTTTTATAACATCGTAAATATGTTTTGGCTTTAAATAACCAGAAAAAAGTTGTTAAGCCGTAAAAATTAAAATATTTTAGCAAATACTTGGAGAGTCATGCTCCAATTTTTCGAAAAAATAATTGCCTTCACCATTAAAAAACTATCGCTCGTTCTAAACTAGTTCTAAATAAGGTGGATGTTAATTGACATGATCTTGTAGCTAACGAGTAATATACTAAATTTGAAAAAAATATTCTTCTTTTCTTTGGGAGGCTAGCCTCGAAAGAGCAAATAGATTAATGTTTGTTTTCTATTTAACCCATAGCTGGGAGAAGGAGTAATATATTTCAAACGGCTTCACTCTCAATTTGAACTCGATCGCTTTATTACATGGTACGCATTGATAACTGCTCCACCCCCACGAATCGCATAACACACACACACACACACACACACACACACACACACGGGCGCGCGCACACACACATATATGTATATAAAGACAACGGAAAACTTATCTTGCGTTTCGTCCCCTGAGGGACTTCATCAGTGCAGAGGACGAAACGAGTCGGCCAAGATAAGTTTTCATTTTTTTCTTTATATTTATAGAGTAATTTTACACAAATATTCTTTCTGAAATTTTACGCATATACACAGACGCGGGAACATCAACGCGCGCGCGCTCGGGCGCGCTCACGCACGCACACACAGTCACACACCACACACACACACACATATATATGATAAAAATATAGTTAAAATGGATGCTATATTTAAAGTGCTCACTATCACGGATAGAGCGTATGTAGATATAAAAGTGGACATTGAGGTCAACACCTAACAGCAACAGTCTGTTTCACCCGTGAATGTAATCATCAGGACAGATGTAAAGGGTGCGTTGGATAAATTGTCGTCTAAATGACTCCGAAATGAAAATAACACTGGCATCTCATGTTAACTGATATACAGGGTGAGATGGATAAATTGTCGTCTAAGTGACGCCGAAAATGAAAATAACACTGGCATCTCATTTTAACTGATATACAGGGTGAGATGGATAAATTGTCGTCTAAATGACGCCGAAATGAAAATAACACTGACACCTCACTGTAACTGATATACAGTGTGAGATGGATAAATTGTCGTCGAAGTGACGCCGAAATGAAAATAACACGAGCATCTCATTTTAACTGATATACAGGGTGAGATGGATAAATTGTCGTCTAAGTGAAGCCGAAATGAAAATAACACTGACATCTCATTTTAACTGATATACAGGGTGAGATGGATAAATTGTCGTCTAAACGACTCCGAAATGAAAATAACACTGACATCTCATTTTAACTGATATACAGGGTGAGATGCATAAATTGTCGTCTAAGTGACGCCGAAATGAAAATAACACTGACATCTCATTTTAACTGATATACAGGGTGAGATGGATAAATTGTCGTCTAAGTGACGCCGAAATGAAAATAACACTGACATCTCATTTTAACTGATATACAGGGTGAGATGGATAAATTGTCGTCTAAATGACTCCGAAATGAAAATAACGATGACATCTCATTTTAACTGATATACAGTGTGAGATGGATAAATTGTCGTCTAAGTGACGCCGAAATGAAAATAACACTGACATCTCATTTTAACTGATATACAGGGTGAGATGGATAAATTGTCGTCTAAGTGACGCCGAAATGAAAATAACACTGACATCTCATTTTAACTGATATACAGTGTGAGATTGATAAATTGTCGTATAAATGACTCCGAAATGAAAACACTGGCATCTCATTTTAACTGATATCCAGGGTGAGATGGATAAATTGTCGTCTAAATGACTCCGAAATGAAAATAACACTGGCATGTCATTTCAACAGATATACAGGTTGCGATGGATAAATTGTCCTGTAAATGACACCGAAATGAAAATAACTGACCTTATTTTAAAAGATATACAGAGTGCGATGGATAAATTGTCATGTAAATGACGCCGAAATGAAAATAACACTCATTTTAAAAGTTATATTTACCAAAATTACACAAAAATATCTAGAAATACTAAAGAGTAAATTTATTCAATAAAATCGCCCCTGGCTTCCACTACGGCCTACAGACAACACCGGAATCTCCTGAATCTCTTCTGGACGGTCTCCTTGTTTAAGTCATGAATGCTGTCATAATCCTTGCCTTCAGTTCATCTTTGATGTTACAAAAAGATTTTTAGTCTCTCGATCAACTCCGCCCCAAACATATTAACCAAGGCGGTTGCAGTGTGCGAAGTTAGGTGGCCAGATGTAATGAGTGATATGGTCGAAGAAAATATCTCAGTCATTACTGGGTTATCCTGCTTTGTGACATGGGGGTCTTGTTGATGGAGAGTGTTTTCCGACAGCCCCCTCTTGACCTAGGGCAGCACTACTTCATCAAGGCACTTGATGTAGGCCTTCATGTTGAGTCTGAAGTTTTCGCCAACAAATTTAGAGAGTTCTTTTCTTATCAAAACGATCTGAATCAGTTTTCCGACCTGCCGTACCTTCGTAATCAACATTAGACTCATCCAACTCTTTCTGAATCTTCTGCACTGTCCTCAGATTCACACCCAAACACTCTGGTATGTTCGTATTGGAGCATTCCGTTTCCAAATTTCTGGAGTGAATTGCGTCATTGTACTCTTGTTCTCACAGACGGTGTCGAACTGATCCTACTGTACTGCGCTTGGGTACCTCCAGGTGGTGTAATGGTTAGCAAGTTTGTCTCGCTAGAACAATTACGACTGAGTAGTGAGTTTGATCCTCACTGTGTGCCCCATACTTTCGCCCTTGTGCCACATCTGAGCTACGCTTGGAAAATCACTACTGTACTGTGCAGTCGATAAAATAAAAAAAAACAAAACAAAGCGCATGCGCAAAATTAAATTATAAAATGGTAAAAATTTACCAATCGCACCCTGTATATATATATATATATATATATATATATATATATATATATATATGTTTGTGTGTTAGAGTGTGTTTGTGTGTGTGCATGTATGCGTATGTGTGTGTGTGTGTGTGTGAGAGAGAGAGAGAGAGAGAGGAGTGGAGTGGAGTGTGTGTCTGCTTGTGTGTGTGTGTGTATGTGTGTGAGAGAGAGTCTGGAGAGAAATATTGGATGATAAAGAACACTGCTGAATACTTGATTTAAATTCCTTTTCAGTTCGGTGTTCATTTTGACATCGAAAATTCAATGCTGTAAAATGTGTTGTAGTGAAGATCAGAAACCAGATGAAATACACTTAGAAACCTGATGGTGTTTGCCTTCATCAATTTACAGAACAATGAGATCATATATTTCTGAAATCGTAATGACGGTTTAATGAAACAATAGGAAAGTATGAAACGTTGCTCTACCCCAGAAAAGTTCAATACCATTTCCACTACATTTATTCAATCAATACTTGAATATGGGACTATTATCCGGTGTCAAGGCTACAAAAAACATATCGACATTGCAATCTGCCAAGGAGAGGTGACTCACACTAGCTTCAGGAAAAATCAAACTACCATCACTTTAGGCAAGACGCCAGTTCTCCCATCTTAGTGAGGAGTACAAAGTACTAAATGGTCATTATAAAAAAAGCAAGTAAACCATTTCTTGATCTCAGTAACATAAATTCATAAAATTGTGCTGAAACACTGTTGAAAGATCCAACTTCATCTCTTTGGAGGAGATAATTGGAGTTATTTACATACTGACGGTTTGAACGCACCAATGCTAGCTTTTCTGAAGTATAATATATATATATATATATATATATATATATATATATATATTACAATAAACGTGCAATCAATTTACAAATACATGAATTATTCACACAAAACTAATGCAAAGGTTAATGATTTTAAATGGCAGACATCCATCTACCCTAACAATTCAAATATGAAAGCCATTTTAGTTGCTACCTAGTTTACAAAAGCTTTCGTCTGTTCATTTCTTCAGGTATATCTAAGAAATACTAAAGAGTAAATTTATTCCATAAAATCGCCCCTGGCTTCCACTACGGCCTACAGACAACACCGGAATCTCCTGCATCTCTTCTGGACGGTCTCCTTGTTTAAGTCATGAATGCTGTCATAATCCTTGCCTTCAGTTCACAAAAACCTTAGATCCGTTATGAATGAATTGATCCTTGTTCATATAAATTTCTGCCGTATTAGTTGTTATTTTACACAAGCTTTCGTCTGTTCATACAGACATCTTCAGGTATATAATAGATGTTGTTCTTGTTTTTTTCTCTTAGTAATAAGAGGACATCGAAAATATATGTGTTATTGTATCCGAAAT